TGTTAGGTACCTGGGTTTGGAACCTAACAATAACACTCACTCGATGCAGATAAAAGAGATGAAAGAAAGAATTCTCTTATTCACACTGTAGAATCATCGCTCTACAAAGGATGGGTTGGGAGCATAACCTCCCTGGTTGAGAGCATAACCTCCCTCTATAGGTTAAAGACCTGACTTTACAAACTATACTCGATGCCCTCTGCAGAGTTACAAGAGCTCTATTTATAGCAGCTCTGACTCGCTCCCCCTTTACAACCAACACCCTCACACCCTTAACCGCTCAGTCCTCAACCTGATCTATCCTAACATCCTAGATCCTAACAGGATGAGAGTCATGTTCCCCTTGTAGTTGGAATGTGGGCACGAATTTTAGAGTATTCTAATCTAATTGACTATTTTGATACTACACAAACAAAGAAAATAAAGAACACATGGAAGATTCAGTCCACTCAAGATTCTTGTGTTATAAAGTGCTCCTTGATTTATCTCTGCTATCTGTCTCATGTTGATTGTTCCTAATTGTGGAGCACTTAGGTTTTCTTGTCTATTTGTGGTGTTTATCTATAAATGCCTTATATTCTTCTTTTGTAGATCCAATATTTTCATTTTCTCCTCTTGCAATTCACACAAGGAATTTGTTGGCTGACCCAAGATGCACACTGGTTGTTCAGGTTTGAAATATGACATTTCCTATTTAAGCTTTTAGATTTCCATTTTTTTTTTCCATTTTTTGGGTTTTATTGACTGTTATATTTTTCAGATACCTGGATGGAGTGGCTTGTCCAATGCTAGGGTAACTATTTTTGGGGATGTCTATCCACTTCCGGAAGATCAACAGGTTGTTTGTTGATGAATTTGTTTTTGTGGGTTAGGAAATGTGCACTTGTTGGTACCTTCAATTATTCACTTAGAGATACTTCTGAATTAGAGGTGTACCTGTGCATTTCATGGTATCTATTTGACTTTTTTGTACTAACAGGAATGGGCTCATAAGCAGTACATTGCGAAACATCAACAGGGTCCTTCTCAACAGTGGGGCAACTTCTACTATTTTAGAATGGAGAGTATAAGGTTGGCTCCTTTCCAGTGATATCTATGGGGTGGATCTAGTAATTTTTTGTTATTTCTTTTTAGGAGTGAGGGGTGTGAATCTTGATTATGCAATCATACATAGATGGTCTACATTATCTACTCAAGATTAAAGACTACCTAAAATCACACGATCATTTAAAGTCACATGACTTTTGAATTTTAATATTGATTATTCCTTGTATGCTTTAATAGTTAATTGGTTCCTCCCACTTACACATAAAAGTGACTCTAATTTGATATTTGTCTGCACTATCTTTAACGCAAGCAGCTGCTGCCTGCTGCCAAGTTGATTGTGTTGAACAAATAATCTTGTGTGCAAACTTTCTTGCATATTTTTTGGGGCATTTTACTTGGGCCTGGCGTATAAATGTCAATCTTAGCCAAAGAACCCAATCGCCTAGACATTGACAACTAGTTTTTTTCTTTAATGGTTGAAATATGAAACAACCATATTTGGGTGTTTGGTAAAGCATTAAGAACATGGGCAGATCGATTTTATCCTTTAGAATTTTTCATTAAAATTCTAGTTCCTCTTAACAAAAAGTTATGGTGCTCGTGAACAATAGAATCCATGAAGAATTGGGAAATTCAATTTCATCAGTTGTTTGGTACTGTCATTACCAACCTGTGTAGCTAATTTAATCAGTTCATTATTGACAGTGACATATATTTCATTGGAGGCTTTGGTACTGTTGCTTGGGTGGATGTAAAGGAATATGAAAAACTTCAACCGGATAAGATTGCAGTCGATGGTGGTGAACAGTATTTAAAGGTGAATTTTCTGATCTTTTTTCTTACGCGTTAAAGGAAATAATATCTGGCTTGTGTAGGCAAAAACAATTTTGTATGCTCACAGACTGTGTTTCTCTCTTTCCCACTAAAAAGAAATTTATGTGATTAGTTGGGATGGGGCATTCTACTTTTTTCAGCATAGTAGCTGGAGATGGTCCAGATGGGTGTATACATGTGGCACATTCAAGGTTGACATGACTGGGGTTGGTTTTGTGGGGTTCTTAGTTGACCCTAGTGCTATCCCTTAGTCAATAAAGCTACCTAAAAGGATAAATTAATGTCAACCCCCCTCCCCGGGTAAGTAACCCAATAGGGTTTTTTGTGAAGTTGAAATGAGATCTTAGTAGTTGTTTCAGTCAAACCTTAATCAATGACTTTCTATAATCCATATGCTCATTGATACAATTATGTAAACCAACCCTAGAGTTATAACCTCATTGCTTGGTTTTATGTTTGAAATAATAGGAACTCAATGCTATCTTCTCAAAGCCCCTTAAGAAACTTCTATCTAATGAGACTGAGGTAGATGATGCTGCACTCATTTCCATAGACAGTAAAGGGACTGATATCAGGGTCCGTCAAGGTGCCCAGGTATGTTTTTTCTTTCCATAGTCAGATTCTTTCTCTGATAATATCTTTCATTTAATGTCTTTCTTGTATGCAGTTCAACATTCAGAGGATATCATTTGATGAAGGGCAGAGTGTAGAAACTTTGGAAGAAGCTAAAGCTGCACTTAGGAAATTAATACACAAAGGAAAAGTGTACAATTTGCAGCAATAAGATGTTGGATGCCCTCTCCCTCTGGAACCCTGCCAGTTTTCTAATCTGACTTTTTCTGGAATGGTTAATTTTATACTTTTTGCCTGGTTGACATGCACCAGAAAGTGTATTATATCAAGTCTGATGGTTAGAGGGCCTTTTGTGGGCTATCAGCATAATCAAACTAGAAATAATATATCAGAACTCAGGTGAAATAATAGTATGCTTTTTCCCCCTAAAGAAGTCCCTTCCATGCTGTTGTATTTGCTGATAATAAACCAATAATCTCAGGTTGTTAATTCAAGATATGACATGTAGTTCACATTTGATGTTTTCTTTACGGTTTTTTGAAAAATGTTTCGATGGACTATTTCTTTGGTGTTTATCATATTCACTAATTCAAGCTTTCACACACACACACACAGCTATAGCTGTCAAAATAAGTTCATACGATGAACTAGTTTGAAAAGTTCATAAAAACAGAACAAATTAGATTGGACTATTTTTTATTTGATTTGCCTGAGTTGTCTGTGGGATCTTAATATCTTATATAAATTTGATTTCTCTCGAAGAAACTGACAATATTTCATATTAATTTATATATCATTATATTTAAAATTTAGATTTAAATTCAGTGAAATGATATTAACTTAAAAAATATATAATTAAATTTTTTTATATTTTTCGTTTGTTTATTTAATTTGTATTGTTTAAAATTTGATATATTGATCAAAATGAGTTGTGGCCCATGTAAGGTCAGGCAAAAAGGTGGCAACTTGTTTTAAAAAGACGAGTTGAAAAACAAATTTTCTAGGTGACTTGTTTAACCGGGATAAATCCGTTCTATACAAGACACATTAAAATTAGGTGTTTATATGTTTTTTTTTTACGTAAGATTAAAAGGTATATATTTGCTACCTATTTTTTCTGTTCGTCGATACAACTCAAGAGGAGAAGGTATCTTCCACGAATGAGTAATAGTATCTGAAAATGGTTCTAGTATAGAAGAAAAATAAATGCACAATTAAACGAGAAAACAGAGGAGAGGTTGATTTTAATCAATGCAATAAAAATAATATTTTTTACTTTCATCCACTTTTATATATCTTTGAATGCCTTTACTATGATCCACGATTCATTATTGTTAATAAATATTCTAGTCTATTCAATAAAAGAACATATACAATATAAACAACACTTAATTATATACTTGAATGAACCACTACGGAAGATATTACATCATGATTGGAAAGTCAGTTTTATGATCGGTCAGACAATCAATTTTAATGTTGAAAAATTAAAATAAAATATGATTTCTATCACGATTTCTATCAGTTAAACTGTTATATATTGAACTGATTTTAATATTGAAATAATTTTTGTAATTGTGATCCGAACAGTTTAGATAAATAATTAAAAGATACTTTGAAATCGAAAACAACATTTTGATCATTAATTTTTTAAATGTTAATAGTTGACCTCGACCTATACCTTGAAATAAAACATATATTTTTCTTTTCAATAATAAAGACTTACCTTTTTCTAGTAAATTCCTTCATATTATCTCTCCATTTTCATTTTCAAAGCAAGTAGATTATGAGGAAAATGAAATATAGAGTATGCAAGACAAAGATTGGAAGAACAGTAGCAAACTGAAGAATATAGAAGTCAGTTAGAGATTAATAAAGACAACAAAAGTCGACAAGAATTTAGTTGGCGGGTCCAACCATACTCTTTATAGTTATTATAATATCATTCAAAATCCTTCTAATCCTGCATAGTAACACACTCTCCCCTTCCAAAAGTATCAATTTTAGCTTTTAAAAAAAATTAAAATTTATCCAAGTCAACTTTCGATGAAATATCAATTTTTCCCTGATTTATTTCTAAATAAATTACATCAATAATTATATTTACCAGAATAAAAAAAATTGTGAAGATAAAATGAAATTAAAATAAAGATTGTGTTATTTTGGTATGGTTGTGCAGAGAGATAACATGAGATGGCATGCAGGAGAAGATGATGTTGAAACAAAAGGCAATGCTCATTATTTCTTACAGACGACAAATGAAATGGCCACCCCTTTCATCTGTCCTACATCAATCTCTTTCCTCTTCAAACATTTTCACCATTTTCTTCAACTTCAACACAACACAACAAAACTCATTCTTTTCACCATTTACCAAATTACTAGTTATCTATCTCTCTTTCTCTCCCACAACACACTCCCTTACCATTCCACCATGCTATTTCCCTCAAACAAACCCTTTCCTCCTTTTTTTCTTCTTCTTCTTCTTCTTCTTCTTCTCCTTCTTGTTTCCTCTTCAACCATATAACAACATCACTTGGTTGGTCTGTTCCAAGAATCATGGAAGAGTCTGAGGGAAGTGGAAGTGGATCACCAATCACCAACATGGCTCAGGACTACCTCATAACCATTCTCCTCCTCCTCCCCATAGATGCAATTCTCTCCCTTTCCATGACTTGCAAGAGATTCAGGTCTCTCACTTCCTCAAACACTATATGGAAATCTTTGTGCAAAAGGGACTTAGGTTCCACTTGTGTTGAGGCACTTCTCAACTCCTCCAACAATCACCACCATCAGTTCCCATGGATGAGGCTCTACAGACAAGTCTCTCTCATGGATTCAGTTTCCTGTCATAAACTTCTCTCAGAGCCACATGCAGATTTGGATTTCCCCACTGCCAGAGCATCTCACTCTCTCAACTTTGTCTCGGATTGTCTCGTTCTGTTTGGTGGCGGCTGTGAGGGAGGTTTGTTGCTTTCTCTTTCCATCTTCTGAATTGGATTCTGCTGCTGTTCTTCTCATTAAATATCATCTAATCATGTGTGTCCCCTGATATGGTGAAAAGGAGACAACTTATGTGTCCTTTTTCCACCACAAAGGGAATCGAATTCAACTCAAAATTATTAAACCAACCCCATTGTACGGCATTTTTATGTCACTATAACCTACCTAGGTGACTTAGCTTGTAACTTTAAGGCATCTAATCACTACATGTTTCACTTTGGTCGCCACTGTTGGGAACTCTCACGTCACTTATATCATATCAGTTCTTGGGATGATTCTGTAACTTCACTTCATGTAAATTGGTTTTGAGATAAATTCTAACATAATATAAAAACTTGTAACCCATCTTACTGAATCACCTATTGTGTAGGCAAACATGTTTCTTTGACAAGCATTTATATATATGTTAGGTAACTTTACTTAAATATGTTGTTATCTTCTTGTCAAGTTTGATAATCATTGTATTTCATCATTAGAAACAGTTAAGTGTATATTCAGCTTTCTTCTTTACAATAACCAATGTATATAACTAAGCCTATCAATTTGCCTATGACACTTTCAGTTTGCCTTAAGAAAGAATTGTTTACATAAACTCGTATAGCACCCATGAAACGAAAACCATGTCCCTTTTGCTCTGTTCTCTTCCTTGGTTAATTATTTATGACTTCCTTTTAGGCCTTGCTTTTTATGTAGACATTGAAAAGAAACAGATTCCAGAGAATCTGACCTACGTGATATCTGAAACTATGAAAGGGAACTGCTGTTTCCCTCCATTTCCAGTGACTGCTTGATGAAGAAATTATGAAAGTGTTTCATGCTATTTTTAAATAAATTATTCAGATAAAGGGAATTATTGACTAAGCTTGAGCAAACCCTATTCAAAATGGGCCACTTTCTAGTTGCAAGTCTGTAGAGGCTCCCATTGTGAAACTGTGATGTTTTACTTTGTTTTTCTTTTTATCTTGTCCACTTTCAAAACCAAATTCTGTTGTGACATAAAGGAGCAAGGACACTTCATTTAGCACTGCATTCTGACCTGAATGCTGCATTTTTCTTTTTCATTTATGTAAGAAAAATGATGTTTTTAGAAACATAGTAAACTTATGATGTTATCATCATGATTATAATTATTGTTGTTGTTTAGGACGACATCTTGATGACACGAGGGTGGCATACATTGGCAATGATTTCAGGAGAAAGTTGAAATGGCAAACAGTTCATGCAGGCATTCCAAGTGGGAGATTTGGGCACACATGTGTGGAAATGGGTGACTTTCTTGTACTCTTTGGAGGAATCAATGACCGTGGCAACCGTCAAAACGACACATGGTTGGGGCAAGTTGTGTTGAATGAAAACAAAGGCATAGGATTTTCATGGAAAATGCTTGAAGTGGGAAATGTTGCACCACCTCCAAGAGGAGCACATGGTGCATGTTCCATTGATGAAAAGAGAATGGTAATCCATGGGGGCATTGGGCTTAATGGCCTCCGTTTGGGGGACACATGGGTGCTGGAGCTGTCAGATAGTCCCTGCCATGGCACTTGGCATGAGATTGTGTCATACCCTTCACCTCCACCACGCTCAGGACACACCTTGACATGCATTGGCAAAAGCAGAACAATACTATTTGGAGGCAGAGGCTTGGGTTATGAGGTGCTTGATGATGTTTGGTTATTGGATACATATCAAGGTTATTTCAAATGGGTTCAGATAGTTTATGATTTGCAAAGCATAACAGATGGTGTTTCTCTCCCTAGAGTTGGTCACACAGCAACATT